AATTTAATTCCAAGATTTCACAGGTACGCAAGTATCATCAGCAAACATCAAAGTCACTTTGACCACTGTGGTGATGGGGATCTGAGCAATCATTGGAGATTGGAGGTGTTGTCAAAAGAGTTGTTGGAGTGGTTCCTAAAATAAGGTGTATAGAACACTCCTTCGTGCAAAATGTCGGTAAGGTCCGAAAGGGTGCACTTGTGCGCAACATCACGATTATGTGTTTTTTGGGGCAAAACAGTTGACAATGTGCTCAAGATTGGCCATCACAAAACAAGGAAATGTGTGCGCAACTTTGCCATTTTTGAGTGCACAAAAAGAGAAGAGGATGCACGCCTTTACAACACCAGTTATCGCACTTTACATCACCAGCTCAAGAAAGTTATTAAAAAAAAGACATGTACAACACGGGTTCCGCTCCCACCAACCCCACTCCCCAATGTCACCCCCACCACCCCACCATCCACTAGGAGGGTAGCCTCAAGAGTGCCATCCCGGTCGTTAAGTCCGGTTCGTTAATTTTTATCAGCTGTCCGTTAAATTTCGTTAAAGAAAAAGGGAGAAAAATTCAGAAAAATCGAAAAAAATCCAAAAAAATTAAAAAAAAACCCAAAATCACAACAACTGCGGCTAGTTGAAAATCTAGTATGCATAGGTTGAAATAAAATACAAACATACTCTCTAATAGCGAATTCCATAAACTATAAGTATGAAAAAAACCCAAAAATCCCTAAAAAATCCAACAATCCGCTAATTTTTGGTTAATTTTTGTCTTTTTTCGTTATTTTCCGTTAATTAACGGAAAATTAACGGAAATTAACCTCTGTCCACTATTAACGGATCCGGTTGTTACCCTCTACCAAATCCACCGGCGCCCGTTAGCTCACGCACCCTGACCGGGCCGCCCCACTTTATGCCTTCCCCCTGCGCCCGGTCCACCTCCCCACCTTACTGCTCCCCCTCAAGCGCCAATCCGGGTCGCTTTGAGGACTCCACACCCTCGACCCAGTGAGTTTGGCCGGCCGACATGTCGTCTTGGCCAGGCCAGGCTGGTCGAGGTAATCCACCCGTATCCACTCCCGGGCGATGGGTGCCCCTCTGGGCAACTTTCATAAGATCTCCGGGGCCGAGGCTACCCACGGCCAGCCCCCATGCCCAGGACCACCAGCCGGCCGACCACTCTGCTCCACCGCCACGTTAGCCACCACACCGCCCCCCGCCCCTGGGAAGCCCGCACCGCCGGTCGAGGAACAAGGCCTCTGCGCGGGAGCCAGAAGACCTTTTGTAATGTGGCTGCTTGGGGTTAGACAATTATAGGCGTTCTCTGAAGTGGTAATTACATAATTGGGTAAATCGACCTTTTGGGAGTGTTACTTAGAGTTTCCTGGTTCCAACGCGCTCTTAAACGCCCAAATCTGTTAAGAAACGGCGAAGATATGGCCTTCTGAAACTGTAGTACTTCGGGCCAAGGGGTCGAGGGTTAGATGCTTGGAATTAGAGGATAATGGGTCGATCGTAGGTGTGCGGTGGACGGTGACGATATGCCTAGACGCGCACTTGACTTGTCTTGTCTTGATGTGACCGCGATGGACCCGCGATCGGGCATCGCGCATGCGATATGTGCGCGCGCATGCAGTGAATCCGTGCAACACTTCTGGCCCACTCTCTGGTCTCCTGCGAGCCAGCGAACCGCCTAACCGCTGCGCCGCCACCTCTCGCCAACAGCAGACCCCAGGGATCGATCCCCGTCGAGCATTGGGCCCACCGCGCGACCGCCTAATCGACTGCCCCGATTACGCCCACCATCCAAGGTGGAGAGGGCCGGCTAACCTCCAACAGCCGAGCCGCGGGGCAGGGCCACCCCAACGCCTCCGGAAACCAGCAGTTGCTGACGGGGCCGCAACACATCCCATTCTCAATCGCCAATGCCAAGAAAAGTTATTGACAAGTTGCCCATATTCCCATGTTCCATGAGTAAACCCCAACACACACACCCACTATTAAATTTTGTTGTAGTCCTTATTGTGATTAATGTGGGGATATTATGGACAACCCATTGGCATTGTGGCAAAAGTGGAAAAACAACACATTTGTGTTGTATATATGGGGCAATGACCTTTATCCGAAATAGCAAGGTGGATCACTTGGAAGTTTTACATGGTCTAGCATGATTTTTAGATGAGTTGAATGGCTTAGATGCATGATTTCAATGTTGGGAACGTGTTTATCACGTTGCCCATATTATTCTGATGAAAATAGAGATAATGACTCATTATAGTTATTTAAATCATTTAGCTCATTTAGAATCATGATCAATCATCTAGTTTCATCATCATAGGCGAGTGTGACATGCCATAGGGTCACAGACGCTGGGCTATAGGTGAGAATTTGGTGGCACTGGGTCGTTGGGCGCGGTGCGCCATAAGCATTACATAAGGATGGTGGCAAAGGTGTGATGGATTGTGATGAGAGCGTATCACCGTGTTGCCACACTTGACAACGTGTGTGAGTGCCGTAGGGCGGTGTGGGCACCAGTTTGATAGGTAGGTAGTATACAGGACGCATGTGAGCATGGGTCACATGGCGATGGGGTGCAGTGCACGGCTAATTGGTGTGGTATAGGTCTGAGTACCGGAGGAGGTATTCGTAGGTGATTTGGGGTGAGTTTGGACATGGTTATGTGGTAGTATATGGACAGCCGCACTGTGACAACGGCTGCTTGAATCAAGCACTATAAACCATGGGATAAGGTCTTAGCATATGGGAAAAAGCGTTGGAAATGGGAAGGTGTGCTGTGCGAAAGGGTGAAGGGATTACTAGGTGGTGATGAAGTAAACGGGTTGTAAATATTGTCAAGTGTAGAGGTGATGGCGTGAAGGGTCTTGGCTGGAGGATAAAAAGGGGGGGCCGTTGGTCCATTTGCCAATAGTACCAACTGCCCGCACCCCCTCGTTCTTGGGCCCGGGGGCCCAATAGGGCCCCCTTCCTAGAAGACCTTAAGTACTGGAGCACCAAGAATTCGGACTAGGGCCCTATGAGCAAACTTGTTCAGGCGAGGGTGGAGATTCATCTGCCTGTGAGATTCGGACAACCACTATCCAGCCCCCGGCGTGGTGGGCCCATTTCAAAGTGCGCTCGGAGGCATCATGGCGCCGAAAATGAACCCGATTTGATGCCAAAAGGTCTTACAATTTGTCCATAATACATAATGCCTTGGTTCTCTTCCCCCCGAGCTTGCTCTCAAAGCTGCTCGGTTTGGCTCGGGTTGCCAAACAGACAACTGACGCTTGCTTTTATACCCCAAACGCCCTATCTTTCCAACAGAATATCCTAAGGATATACCCAGAATATTCTTCTATTTGTAAACCCACTCAAATGCTATTGTCAATTGGATATAAACTGCCAGAAACCTATACAAAACATGATGTAAAGGCTTCTTTTCCATTACAAACCCATACGAAACGTTGTGTACAACCTCTATTCCCTCATGTAAACCTTTGCAAACGCCCATCAAACATCCACATTCATAGATTCCCCCTAGCTCCCATTCCAACGCCCCCTTAGCTATAAAAGAGAGAGCCCTTCATTCTAACCCTTGAGTTCTTCCTCTTGGAGTGCTCAAGGCCAAGGGCTCCAAGGTGAGGCTTTTCTGGATGTTTGAATGGACTTAGAACCTCCTCATTTATACTTGGCGCACCCCTAAGAATATACCCTTAGATTCTTGGAATATATTGGGACTATTCCTTAAGAATATTCTTGGAATATTCCATGAATATTCTCATATGTAGTCGCACAGCTCGTCACCTAAACATGACTAAGCATGACTAATCATATCTAAAATGATTAAAACATGACTAAAGCATGACTACAAATATGACTAATCTTTTAAATTCAGCTTTTCCCCCTATCAACCTAGTGAATCATTGAAAATGCCCAAAATAGCCTATTTTAGCATCTAGAGTGCCTAAAGTCATTACATAAAGTCACTTAATAAAAACGAATATTAAATTCGGTTTCTGAGTGACTTTCACACTGCCGGATTTGGAGAATATTCTGAAGTGATCCAGTGTGGATAAGGAGGATCAAGGGGATCAAGAATTGAATTGCCGGATGATGGATCTATAGATTCAAAGCAAGGTGTGGTGCAAAGGGCAGCATTGCATTTGGCAAGAGGCGGAAAAGTGATAGCAAGTGTTGTGTGGACATCTCAAGTCATCTGTGATGGTTGTGTATGTTGGGTCAAAAGGGTGGTGCATGTGGACTGAGCATATAAAGTGACGTGATGTTGTTCAATCAGGATTGATTTCTTGACGATGTTGATTATGATTGATCATCAATTTAAGCAATGGGTTATTTGATCAGTTCAATGTGGTGATCTCAAACTCTCAAAGCAACGCGAGTTTTAATGGAGCGAAGATTAAGTTCAGCCTGTGATCTTTGGGTCCTTCGGGGCGATCACTAAGGGGCATGTACTTTAACACCACCCAAACCAACGTCAATTTGTCGTTGAGAGTAGAAAATTGACACAATGCGGTCCCTTCAGGAGCCCCACCTGCCTACGTTCAACAAAACTCGCACCACATAAACACGGGCTCCATTGCCAGGTGAAATCTTCAGGTCAAATCCTTCGCGAGGCGCCCATATCCATAGGATTGCCACGGCCCAACTGACCTGCACCCTAGTCACAATCACTGGCAGAAAACACAATTCTTGCGTTGCTGACTGCGATACCACTGGATTGATGCAACGACCGTTACGTGGGTGCCATCGCAGCCACCGTGGTGGCACCAATTGCTGCGAAATGTCATCAAAAAATTGCATCTCAAAACGTTGTTATCTGCAGGTGAATCTATACGTGCGACACCCTGGCGCATTTGTCCCCATCCGCACGCAGTATACAGACATGTACACTGGTGCACGTACGGTCACGTGGACGCATCTTCCGCCTCGCTGAACAGCACTTCTTCAGACACCTTCCGCTGGTCCTGGTCCCGCCCAGGATGCTAAGCCCAATTCAATGGGCAGCGCCAGCGGCACGACCGTCCCTCCTCCCGCCGCCCTGCATGGTGCCCCAAGGCCCACCGCGCGGGGCGACTTGGCTTCCCAACCTATTGGGCTGCAGCCTGCGGAAGAGTGCCCGTCGCGAAGCGCGAGCCAATGCTCGCGAAACGCAGCCCCTGGATGGCGCGGGAGGTAGCGCACATCCGGGCGGCGCGCTCGCCCCCCCGCGGTGGAAGCTCTTCCAGGCTTCGCTGCTGCCGGCTTGCATGGGCATTGGCCTGGCGTCCCTCGCGGGCCCAGCGTTGGCGGAGGGCCTGTTGAGGGAGGAGCCGTCGAATGCGCTGTCCTTCCCGACGTGGGTGATCCACATCTCGAGCGTCACGGAATGGTGGGAAGCCTTTCTGTTTGTCCGCTGTGCACGCCGGTGGGATTCCGCGAAAGTGGGTGGCTCGGTCGCATTGCCGTTGATCGTTCGAAGTGTCCGAAGCGAAACGTGGCTGATTCGTTGTCGTCGTTGTTGCTGTTCGTGTTGCGTGGAGCCTCGCCATCGGACAGCACTGCGTTTTCGTCGCCTGATAGTGAGTCGCGGCTGTGCCCGCAGCCTGCTGTCCCATCCCCAAATGGAGCCGGCATTGTCCCCTTGAAATTGACGGAAAAGGATGGATGAGAGAAACTGCCACAGAGAAATTTCAGAGACAAAGGCGATCGGTGAAAACGCTGAAGACTGCTTTGCTCACAGAAGAGGAAGCGTGCAATACAGATTGCTTGTTTCACATACAAATTTGGCATGTCCAGTCACATCAATGCTGCATGAACCCCTTCCTCCCGAAATGGAGATGGCACGGAAGCCTATGTGAAAGAGGAAAAGCACGAAAGGACGCCACTTGTCGAAAATTGAGAGCGACTATCCATGATCCAAATGGGAGATGAAAATATGCACTCTGCTTTGGGAGCACTGTATAACTGTAGTCTCTCCTAAGCGTGTACCACCTTCGGGTTTTGGTCCCAATCTGTGGAAGGGTGACGGAGTCCCACGCTCAATCCTGGAACCAAAGAACTTGCACAAACACGCTGTGCACCCAGGCCCTGTCCGGACTGAGGCACAGCTCACAATTGCCAGTGGTGATGGTGCCCCACACCACAGCCATTCCTGTCGTGGCTGGTTAATGGCAACACCACCAGGGTAACAATGTGTGCCTTGCAGCGTCAGGAGCTTGGTGCATTTTGAAAACACAAAATGCTAGGACGCAGCTGTGCCTGGAAATCGTATATAACTGCATTCATGTGTGGTGAAGATGCTGATTATTTGTCTTCAAGGCGATGGGATCCAATGGTGACAAGACACCTGTCTGTCCATATGTGCCAAGCTCTGCACATTGTCACACAGGCATCGATGCCGCCAGTCAGCTACCTAAGTGTCCATCAATCGTTCAACCTTTCGCTGCCTTAACAATATGAACAGCCACATTGGTGTTCTGCAGGGTGCTTGCGATGGGGCTGATGTGGCGCTATGCTGAGGCCACTGGTGATGCCAGGTGGAAGGGCATGAGCTGGGGAATGGTATGACACTGCACCTCATCAGGATGGCCATCACCATTTTTCGACTTTAGATGTGCTTACTGTTGGTCACAGAATTAAATCTGTCCTTTGTTGTCCAAAACATTCATGTTATCATATGTCTCTTGGCCTCTTCATTTGTTGGTAATTGCCTTGCAAATCCTGTGATTATGATCCTGAACATTCCAATTTTTTGTAGAGAAATTGGGGCTGCTAACGAGAGCTGCAACCCCAAGTCACGATCTATACGCTGCTTCTAAGTTGGAAGGAAAATTCAATGTCTCAATATCGCCCACTGATGTCCAGATCCCACTGCTTGGTGGCGCTATGGCCGCCATCACTTGGCATCTGTTCTACAACAGCCCTGAGCTGGAGGTGAGCAATGCATACTACAGATGCGCTTTTGTCCGTGCACCTGTTCACAAGGCAAGCATTGGTGACGGCTCGCACTAGCGGGGCCATGATACTTGAAAGTTGCAGCTCCATTTTCGCTTCGCCACTTCGACATGTCGCTTTGGTCAATAGACAGTTGAGATAGCAAACCCTGTACCCAGGTTAAGTCTTTGGAGACGCTGATGGTAGTGCACTTGCGCTCATTCCATCTTGCTGCTAAATTTGCCCCGTGTTAGTTGTCCTTTACGATTTGACGGCTTGCTTCTTCGTTATTGAAACTTCGGATTTCAGCGGAACTCTGTCTGAAATGGTGCCAATGAGTTTCAAGTACACAGTAAAAAGCAAGTCATTCCCTTAAGTATTCCGGATTTGGTAGCATGAGGAGGGGCGAATATTCCAACAGAGTCAACGCTGTGACGACGGCTCTCTAGGATGGAATCAAACACCGTCGAGTGTGCTTGACAAGCGCATGTGTGAGCTGGACGCCACCCTTCATCGCGACGATGGCAGCAACTTTCCTTGCCACTAGTAGGCACGGGAGCAACTGAAAACCGTGGGAGTATCCAGGGGACGTGGAATTTGCTTGCTTAATTTTTGGACCGAGCAGCAGCATTTCGGAGGCCCTTCCAGGTGTTGAGGATGATTGTTTTGTCTTCAAAACTAGTAGTCAAGGTTCTGGGATCCGATATCCCCCGTTGGTGCTCCTTCACCATTGAAAGGCCGTTTTCTTAATGAAAATTACATATCAAGTAAATTACGAGATTAGTGCGGGACAGAGGAAGTATGTTGGTGGATACCAATGCACGCTGCACTAGCATCGTGTTCGCAAGACGGGATTTTCCATGGATCCCAGCACTGTCAAAAATCAAAGCCAAACACAAACTTGCAGGGCATAGCCGATTTGAATCCCGCCATTACAGTGTGGGCTGTGCCACTGACCACACCATTTCCTCAGATCTGCTCTGGCAAAACTCTGCCACTTTGTGACTGTCCTGGCATGTGCGCAAGTTCCGGAGTAATGGCAAGATAGCAATGAACATATGGCTCCCCACCACCCCACCACATTCAATTCACTGGGAGGAAGACCACAACTAGGGTTGCCCCTCATCGCATTGTTTGGAATTGGCGCGGTGCTGGCCATTCCCCCAGAAGGCACCACTAATGCGGATGTAGTTTGTACCAGACCATGGAATGCAAACTGGAATCCCAACTGTCGCCCAGAGCATCCCGTGTTCAGCTCCAGGGCATGGGCCGTGGTAAGAATGCCAGGCCATTCTGCCGCATAAGCCTCTCCTTCAAATTCGAAACACGCTGTCAGCAGAATCCACCACCTGCTCCCCAGCCCTGCTTCTCTGGCTTGTTGCCTGTTTGTGCTGCGTGAGAAGAATGATTTAGCAGCCGACTGGCGCAGCGTGCGTCTTGCATCTGACATGTCCCGCCTTCCTCTGTGTGCCGCTGCAGTGGCTGGTGACCTTGCAATCGATCTTAACGGTGGTGGGCAACTTCACACTCTGGTTTGCGGCGTACAGACTCTACTCCAAAGGCGCAGCAGAGTCGTCATGATGACCCCTCTCCCTACACCGGTTCGTTGGCAATACTTGCCTTGCTCTTTTAATGATGGTGTAAATGACCCGTTTCAGTTGAACTTTCTGATTGTTGGGGGGCGCACGCTAGGACATACTTTGAGGAACACCCCCAGTAACCTTGCTGTGCGCATTTGGGACTTCCCGACCGCTCCACGTGTGCTTCGCAGCTAAGAGAATGCCCTCCTTTATGGCGGCCACGCGTTCCTGATGACGCTGTTCGGTGGTGTTGCCATCCCTGTTCATGACGCAGTGTCCTGTTGGCACCAGCACGCACTGCGGCCCCCAAAGCAACCAATGCCTGCGGCGCTGTGGCGAAATTTCTCTGCACCCAAATCCAGACAACAGCGCCTGGAAGGTGTCGCAATTTTACACCAAATTTTTGCAGACTGGCGCCCACTGTCCTTGTATCTAAACGTGTGGACAGTCAGGGCAACGCGTCACAGCAGCAGTGCGCTGATGGTCTTCTGCAAATCCGTCGACGCCGTAGTTTGGATTTCCAAGTATTTGCTGGTCATTTAGAATGCCTCTGTAAGGAGTGGCTTTCTGCCTTTGGGGGTCATGTCACTTTGGTTCTTTCTGCCCTTTAGGCACTTGGTTTGTGAGGGCGGTGTCGTGAAAGGAATGGACGGAACAAGCACCAACTCCACATTGTTGCGCGCTCTCACTTCAGAAAATGAGGAAACGCCCTGTGACGCTCTTGTGTCAGCGCCAAAAATGTCACGAAACACAGCCAACATGGTAATGCCTGCGGCATTGGCATTGCGTGCCTGTGGCACGCACGGTCGAATCCCTGTCGAAGAAATCGCCATCGATGGCCATCGAAATTGCCATCGTGGAGGCACCGGGCGCTGTTGCTTTTATGCGCTACGCTCATGGCCGTCAGAGACAAACATGCGCCCACGGGCAAGCATGATACAATCCATCAAAGAATCAGGTTACATACGTCGCAATGACGATATATTAGAGGAGTGTCATCAGTGCCATGCAACGTCTCCAAGCTGATTCACACCATCCCCGCGCCTCAGCTCACTCCAAACCGCTTGTAACAAGCAACCACGTCCTCGCTCGAATGCCAAGCTTGACCCCGGCAGTGGTGGGGCGCGCAGTCCATGCTTTCCAGAGCTAACACGACACAGTTCTATTACCTGTCCAATCGAATGCTAAATCCCAAAGTCGTGCTGTCACCCACCTCGATCCTGAGCAACCACGGCTTCAATCTCCCACGACCCGAAACGTGATTTCATGTCAATGAAAGGCTCGATGAGCAAAAAGAGGCAATCCTACGTGTTCTCCTGCAAACTTCCCCCCACACACCACAACCCCCAAATCTCCGCCCTAGCCCCATCGGTACAGCGTCCATCAAACTGGCACGACGACCACAGCCCAAGCAGCTTGCGACCCAGCCACCAGCCCCAGGCGACTGACGGCCACCCGTCCACGTCCTTTGACATCAATAAACAATATACGTTTACAAACTCAAAATCACAATGTCCAGGCTCACACACAAGTGCCACCCAATCGAGCCGCCTTCACCCCCCACAGTTGGACCTCGAGCAAGACTGGCAACCTTCCGCACACGTGGACATGACCCTCGCAGGCCCTGCGCTGGCCCACCCCGGTCTTCCCCGCCCCAAAAGAAACTGAATTTTCGTCTCATACTCCAGCCACCGACGATATTATTCCCCATTTTCAAGGGCCGGGCCGCAGCACGCGCCGCGGGCCCCACCGGTGGCTGTCGTGCGCCCACACCGTCCAACAAACCTGTTCGACTCTTCTCGTCCTTCACAGGGAACAAAAAAGTTCGCACCAGTAGCAACACTAGCCTAAGCGACACATGCCGCCTCGCCACCAGCAGTGGCTCACTTCCACCAGGGCCGCAGAGCTGCAGCGCAGCCCAAGAGGTGAAGCCCGTGAGCCTCTGCTCGCTGATGACGACAGCGTCAGGAAACGAGCGCCAAGCAAAGAAAAAGAGCGGATCTAAACATCTACATATCGCTGGGGGGGAAGGGCGTCTGGCATCATGCATATCGGTCCAATCTCACAGTTATCCTACGGCCATCCAGGTCTGTGTTGTTCATCTTCTCGATGCAGGCCTCTGCATCCTCTGTTGTGGTAAAGCGGATTGTCCCAAAGCCCCTGCCAAAGGAACGAGACGAGTGTGGGTGGGTGTGCGAAGGGTGAGGTGAGAAGGAGCCGGTGGGGTGGGGGTTATGGTGGGTTTGGTATCGAGGAGAGCAAATTTAACAGGTTGGAATCCATGGATCGCACGTTCTCAAAGCTGCTACTGATGCCTGCTTCATGTTCCCAATAAAGGCATCAATTTCAACTTCTGCTTGTGCTGACCACTGCAACCGGAGTCCCATGACATGCCAGGCAAACAACGAATGCACCGAAGGTCAAAAGGCCCAGCAAATGACCAAGCAAAAAACCCAAAAGAGGATACAGATCGGCAGGAAAGTGGCATCGGTGCCGTGCACACCTCGATCGGCCATATTCATCGAAGACAACATCTGCTCGCTGGACATTCCACTCACTGAATGCTTCCTTCAACCGCTGCCAAGAACAAGACCATGGGAGGTTGTGAACCACCACCTGAACCAGTTAACAAACACGAAGTGTGAAAACAGCACAGGCGGCAAGGTGACGCCAAGGAAACCGGCAATTCTATTCAAGCCCAGAACTCTGATGCTGCTGGTGTCCTCAAAGATACTAAAATGCAGGGGTGGAGTTTCCACATCGCAGTTGCGCCAACGTTTCAATCTGTGAACACAAACGGAAGTAGCTTTGCACTGTGGCTGTTGGTGACCAGCTGTCCGACGAGCAGAGACTTCACACAATTGAACTGTTCAAACTTCCACACTTACAACACCACTGTGCAGGCCATTTCCGCAAGGGCACCAGTGGTGAAAAGGATGAAGATGGTCCAGTTACCAAGGTGCAAAACTCAGTTGCCAAGCAGACACCTGTGGTAGATCGAGAGACTGTTTTGATTGCCCTACTTCTGGTAGACCATATGATATGTAGAGGGTTTTGCATCCACTCAGCTGCTGGCCAACCAGTGCAGACTTTCAGCGATCCAGGCGTGATTCACAGCATGGGCAACCAGCCACCCCACATCGCCCAACAGGCATGGCAGTGCTTTGTCATTAAATATACTCGATGTGGACTCACGCTGGCCCCACCGCACATGCAGCGCAGTGGTGACCTCCAACCATGCAGCACAGAGCACCAGAACAGCCACCAGGCCAGCAACATTCAGGAGCCACCCTGGCACAAGAGCAGACACAGGGCACACTGAGTACTGTAAGCAGTCACACCAGCCAAGACACCCACAGCACACCTGCAGACCGCTGGGCTCTCTGGGAGGCTGTCCCCTGCCTCCGTTGCGCCCCCTCCCCCCCCCTCCCCGGCCCATGGGGGGCATGAAGCCACTGCCGTAGCCACCAGCAGGGGATGGGAGGTAGTACCAGAAACCGCTGGGATACCTGCCGCCCCTTGCCCCCCGGCCACCCATCATGTGTGGAGGAAACATGAAGGGCGGGGGGTAGCGAACACGTGGCCGGGGCGGGGCGCCCTGCACACCAAGGCCATGCCCATCATGTGCTTGCTGGCGCAGCCTGCTTGTGGATGACCAAATGTTACTCAGCTGCCAATGCGATGTCTGCGGCAAACTGAGAGTGCACAAGGATTTGTGGCGGGTCATGCACCCAGGCAACTTCAATACCCTGGCAGTCACGCCTGTGTTGCTGAGAGTAGGATCGACATATGGGGAGGACAGATTCGGCAGGCCAATTAGCAGGTGCAGCCCGTGTTTCTCAGCAAGTGACTCAACAAGAACAGCGGCCGCGAAGGAACACGAATACGGCAACGCCGCGGCAGTCCGCAGCACAGCATTCCAAGCAACTTCTCGCGCACGTTTCTCAAGCACGGACGGCCTGCGCAGGGCCCGCGCGCCAGGCGGGCCAGCCAAGTTTCGGTCCAACTCGGCTGCGGCCAAGAAGGCCGCCGGCGCTGCGCCGCGCAGCAGTCGATCCGGGCACGCCCCAGGGCGCCGGGCCAGCGCCCCCGTGCCTCCCTCCAGTGCTCCGCTCATCGCCTCTCACCGGCGCGAAGCCGAGCGGAGGGTCCCACCCACCTGCGGCGTAGATCCGCCAGGCCCCGTCACGCGCACCGCCTTGGTCCTGCCGTCCTCGCCCGTCTCTACGTTGAACTCGACCGTCTCCCCCTCGCGCAGACTCCGGAAGCCCTCCGACTGGATGCTCGTCTGGCGGCACACACGCAATGCCCAGGACCACCCGTCAGCGCCGGTCGGGCCGGTCGGGCGGCAACGGTTGCGGAGCGGCGGTCCAGAATCCAGGCACAGTTTATCTCAGGCTGTTCCTTGACGGTACAGCGGCTCAGCCGCCTCTGAGTGCGGCTCAGGGGCATCGGGGAGGCGTTGGGATTGGCCAGCGGGCGGCTGCGGCCCTTCGCCAGGAGCGGGGCAGGTGGGATCTTGGCGAGAAGAGGTCACGGTGGGACCGATTTGGCCGCATGCGACCGCGCAGGAGGCAAAGTGATCAAATGCCGGCCGCGGCACAGGGCGGTTGGGGCGAGCGCGACAAATGCAGCGGACCTTCGCACGGCTGACAGCCGGTGTGCGGGGGACCATCCCAGCCCCAGCGGCAGCCAATAAACTCCATGGACAGCTTCAGGCGGGCCTCAATCAACCCGACGGCCGCGCGGACGCGCGGCGCCCCGCGCTCGCGGCACGCACGGGCCGAGTCAGATCCGTCCCGACCTTCCACAGGCCGGGCCCCGCCACCCGGATTCGGCCCCCACCGCGAAACCAAGATTTGCCATGACCTTGATCCACGAGAGCTCCGCGCCGTGCGGAAACCACCACAGCGCGGGGGATTGGGCCCCACCGCCCCCAGGCCACGGGGCGGCCGCTCCCCGGGCGGCCTCCTCGCCCTTTCCCCGGCACACTCTCAACGGTCCCCCCCCACCCACAAAAACCCCCTTCCCATTCAAAACTGGCCGATTTTCCGCACCTGGTGCACGAACAGCTCCTCGCCGCCCTCCTCAGGCGTCACGAACCCGAAGCCCTTGGACGCGTTGAACCATTTCACCGTGCCCCGCTGCCGCCCCTCGCCCTCGGGAGACTTCTCGCCCATACCTCCCCCGCTGCCGGCGCCCCCCGGTCCCCCCAGATGGAATCTTTCCGCCTCCCGCCCGGCAGGGCGAAGGGAAGGGCAACTTGGTCGCGGGGCGCTTGCACGAGCGAAGTCACGGCCGCGCGGACGCGCCACAGGGGCCTTATTGCGAGGCGTGTCCCGCTGGCGGTCGCGCGGCGGTCCTTTTCAGGGCATGCGCGGGGGATCCTCCCGGGGAGGGTGGAGGATGCCGGGAGCGCGGGTCCCGCAGGGGGCGCGGGAGGCACGGGCACATGACACACGGCCAGGTCGATGGGTGTTGGTTGCGCGCAACCATCTCAAATCTTTCGAGATCTGGGGCCGAAGATGCCCCTTAGATTGGCGAACTGGCCACCAAGGTGGGCGACAGGGGCTGGGGAAGGTCCGTGGGTTGGGCTCCATTGAGCAAGTCTTTGGCACTGCGTTCCAAACGAAATGAGGATCTGATGCCTGCCCCTCGCTGCTTGCAATGTGTTGTGTTCTCTCGATTCACTGACATCAACGTCCGAATGCTCACCCACCATGTGACATCCCACCAAAAAGTTTCGAAGGTGATTAGGAGCCAAGGAAGCACGGCCACAGCAGCTGTCCGACACAGTGTTGCTCGAAAAGGCACGGCTGCATAGTTGGGAAACAGTATGGTCGCGCTAACAACGGTGTGTTGAGGCAGAACCGTAACGGACATCGTTTCTTTAGTACTCAGTTTGCAGGGGCTCCGCGTTCAATAGTCGCAGGGCAGTATCTGCCTTTTGTCAGCGCCCATTCACCGTGTTCGGACGCAGCTTTGCCCCGCATCAGGTCTTTCTAGTTCTGCTTCTGTTTCCTCAATGTCACCGCAGGAACAAAGTCGTCCAGAGAGCAGGACACTGAATTGTGCGAAAACCTACGGCTCGCCCCGAACCCTCGAAAGAGTGAAAGAACCTTCCCTTGGTTCCCAAAGCTGCTGGTTTCCTCTTCAAATTTGCAGTTTTAGGGCTTACGCGAACTCACTCTGCAAGTTTGCGTATTGTGTGCTGACTTGTTGGCGATTCTACTCAACCATCCTTCTTCTCCATTTGGGCGAAGAAAGCCGCCTGCTCGTGTCCGCAGTAAGTCATGGCAACCATTAAGGGAAGGCGCTATGTCGATTTGTTTATGCTTAGCGTCAATTTCACAATAAACTACACCCACCCACTCCATGGTGTCTTCCCTAATGTGCAAATGTGCCCGGTTCCTTGGAGTTGACTATAAGCCAGGAACTCCTAACCCATCCCGGGCCTCTGCCACACGTTCGACCCACCCTTCGCAGACGCCACTCCGCAACGCCGCACACGTTCGACCCACCCATGGCCGATGCCATTCGACACCGCCCCGGGGCATGCCATCGCAGGCCGCGTCGTCTCTTCGACAAGTTGCCTCAGCTGGATTCGAGCACGCCGTCCAACTGGACGCGAAGCGTACTAACAAGCGCGCCGCTTTCATCCGTTCTCCGCCAACCGCCTCGCGCGTGTAGTTGCGACATCCATCGGACGGACCGGCGGCCGCGCTGTGGCTTCCGAAAGCCCGCTGTGGACTCGCTATGCTGCGCTCGCTGCTCGAGACCGTTTGTGCATCAAATGCACGCCGACCCTGTTGGGAGCACCCACGCTGATACACCGGCACTCAGAATGCCGCACGCGCGGACGCCTGGCCCCGCCGATTTGCCCCGCACCAGAACTTCCTTCTTTCAAGATTGGCGCCCGAGCAGCAGCCGGCGGGACCTCGCCAGTCCATGGCTCGAGGGCGCCATCCATGACGACTTGGTGGCGTTGGCATGACGCTTCCCATCCACCCTGGCGAAGGCGGGCTGGTCGGCGGACCTCCTTGAAACGGATGTCGAGAGCAAGTTGCCCGCGGTCGACGAGAGAAAGTAACACCGCGCCGTTTGTTATGGCGCTCTTGAGCGTTGGGGCCGCCCAGGGCTCACTGTACGTGGCGGGACTCCGGGAACTTCACCGACAATTCAGGGTCCTATGGGCCCTCGCCGGCAAGGCGCGGGGCTGTTGTGTGGCCCCCCGATGTCCCTCGGAAGTTGTCGCTCTGGGCTCTTGGTCCTCACAAATTCACTTCAGTACAAGGTTGACATCACATGTGCCATCGGCTCACTGATGGACGCACAGCTCAATTGATCAAGAAGCACTAAATGTGATGAGTGTCATCACAGGATGCTAGGTGCGTGGTGAGGTAGATGCTGGTGGACTGCCATATTCCTGTGTAAGACACAGCAACCCATTTTTGTTGGAGCTGGTATGGGAGATTTCTTCTTGATGGCAACCTCTTCCCGCCTGACACACACACTGTCCAATCCAAGTAAAATGGAAATACTCTCAACAATGTTCCAACTCACAATGACTGTGCCCGTCATCGTAAATTTACCCTTAGCTTCGCAATACAATATATAAATAGTACACCTTCAGTACTTGCAATTTCACGTCGTTCTCAAACCGAGCGCAACTTCTGAGGGATGGCGGGTAGGTGGAACACAAGGGTGCTGGCGGTCTTTAGACACCCCTTGAGTTGGTAGGCTGCCCACCGAAAGAGAAAACCCACCAAGGCAACCTCTTCCAACAGAAGCCCTGGCTCTCCTTGAAACTCGCCCGTGCCCAGAGTCCAACAGATAACTTGGGCCAGGATCGAACGCAGCTCGTGGGCCAGAATGCCCAGGATGCCAAGGTACTGGGCAAAAATAAAGATATTTTGGCTACAGGTACGTCACGGAATTTCTGGCGCAACCAAAGGGCATGCCCACATCTCCCTAATAAGAAAGTCATCAACAAACCATTAATCACATGTACAAATTGGTAACGCTTCATTTGATGGAAGGGAAGATTGTGGGATGTGGAACTAGTAAGTTTTGACGCCTGCTAAACTGTGCGCATGTTTGAACCCTTTTAAAGGGGTCACAAAGCAGTACAAATGTACCAAATTTGGTAGCCCTGCACCGCGTCTGGAGAAAGCAATGACTGCACGGATGCTCACTGGTGCGCCGTCACATTCCATGTAGAAGCCAAGAGGCCATTGCCAGATCGCTGCTTTGCCGATTCTGCAAGCAACTTGTCAGATTCAATTTGAGAACCGAATGGTCTGCGTATTGGTCAAGCCAGCGACATTCTCCTGTTTGTACGGGCATCTTGATGGCCCCAATGCCTTTCTTCACTCCTTGTGCGGGGACTGGTGCTATTGGAGGAGTTGCGGCAACAAGGACCAACTCAGCACAGTCAAAATGCAGCCGGTGAAATATTTGTCTTAGAAGGACACGTACTTCCATTTTGCAAACGCACAGAATAGATAACCTTAGCCCAACACAAAATTATAGCATCATTTGTGGTGCTTGTAACAAACTGGCATTTCCTCCCGGCTCACAAATGAGCTAAAAGAATTGTTTTCCCTTAGGGGAAGGCACTATGTCGAATTTGGTACGTTTAACTTCAATTTGACACTATGGGGTGTGGGTTGTTGGGGACAGGCTCGTTATTTGCGCCGTAAACACAGATCGTATTTACGTTTTTACGCGTAAGCATGGTTTTTACGTTTTGTGCATGTAAAAACGCGTAAAATACGTGAATACAACGTAAAAAACAGCTCGGTGTACTTAAGGACTGTCAGGTTGACCGAACACCTTCGCGCCCTCACGCACGGTCGCTCCCAGGCACGGAAAGCGAGGCGGCAACCAGATGCCTTACAGGATGAGTGTATCAACTAAATAACAATCACTGCAACAATGTTCACTTCCCTGTCCCTATTGTTCCCATGCACATTCACCATAACACCATGCTCACCATGGAAATACACCATATATCATATATCATATATCAACCACTCTCTCGCCCTCACAAGGACAGTACATACAACCTTCGGGACTCCTAGGAGTGGCATCCAGACGCACTGTAATGGGCAGAAAACGGGTTTTGTTCCATTCCATCGTGGCCGTTTCCGAGTGGGAAGCGGACGCTGTGTTGCGGGCGCTCAAAGGGGCAGAGCACTGACCACTATACGCAACTTTTATTGTGTAACCTGGATGTCACAACGAGTAGTAAAACAGCTATCAAAATAGCTTCTTTTGCAAACTTGCGTTTTTACGCATAAAGACGCAAACGTAAATAACAAGCCTGGTTGGTGGGTGAGTGGGAGGGTGGGCAGGCCTGTGCCGCTGAGATTACGTTATTGCCACAAAATTAGCATAAGCATGACAGATGCCCAAAACTCTGACGAATAGTGTCAAAAAGCTCATGATTGTCTCAATAACTAACTCGCGCGCTCAGCCTTCACAGAACGCCGCATAAAATCTCAAGTGACGGTCTTCATGGCTACACCCATCGCATGGCATGGCTTTTTGCACCCCAATTTCAGCCCATTACGATGGCTGCAAAGTTATGTTGTTTCGTTGCATGAAAACATAACGAAGTTGCACCAAATCATCAAGTAACCCTGCTGAGTCATTCTGACTTCGACACAAGAAATGATGCCAAGAAAAGTGTGGGGTGGGGTGGGGTGGGGTGGGGTGGGGTGGGGTGGGGGGGGTAAGAGCTTGACGTCAAATTGAGGCTAAGCTTACCAAAATCGACAGGGTGCCTTCCTTAGGTGATGCAGGCCATCTCCTGAGATGGGAAAGAAGGACCACGGATTGTTGATTTGCACTACTTTCCACGATCGCAGCATGTGTGTTCACGAAAAATTATCGAATCTCGGAGTTGGGAGACCTAGTTGGGCGCTTTGGATGCGCCATGCGCTCTGGACAGTGTCACCAACCAACATACTTTTGTGGTTGCCCGTTCCTTTGCAACTTTGAGCCCGTGGTTCAGATGCTGCGCTTGAAGGTCAAGTTTGTGGGTCAAGGGATATCCCAGACTTTGACACGGGCTTCCACGAGACCGCAGAATGTGCATGTGAACGGGATACCTTGGCGGCCTTTCTTGGTCGATGGGGAGCCATCGCACTGGTCCAATATCCAGGAGGCTCCAGGAGGTGTGCCCAGCGACCGTCAACTACCTTGCTTTGCACACGCCAACCCAATGCGATGGCATTCCTTTAAGATTGGGATTCGAGGAATGCGCGAGGTTTAAGTACTCGGAAGTCGTTACTTCGATCGCCCCACATTACATTGCAGTCATGATATGCGCCCCTGGAAAACCCATTGAAGCATATCAGAACTTTACCAAAATTTCTTGCAATACTGTAATTTGATTCTAGTTAGTACTCGCAAATTTTTGTGTCAATTGGCTTGGTATTCATTTTGAAAAGACGCCACTTTTCCAGAACTACCCCTTTTTTCCAGATGGTGCCGAAACTGCCGGTTTTCAGGCCCTGGATCATGCCACCTTGCGGTGGCCTCCAGTGCACGAAGCCACAAGAGTTGGAGACGCACTTTCAACTGCAGGTCCGAGTAGAGATACAGAGGCGGGGGGCAAGCCGCCGGCGCCTCCTAAAAGGCGTGATCGAAGATCTCGCCCATAGAATCAAGGCTTCGTGCCAAAGAACTGCGGCCATCGGTGAGCAGTATTGGAATGCACTCGATGACCCCGAGGAATTGAACTGGTCGCGCTGATGGGAAGGGAATTCTAGACGTCGCAAGACACAGCAGGAGGAGTTTTCAGTGAGGGTGGAAAAAATCGCATTAAACAACCAAAACACAATTAAATGAAATCCGATGGACGCAAGAGACAGGCGAGATCCTTGATCGCCCCTTTCAGAACGTGTGACAGCCTGGCCTCTGGGTTTTTATATCCACTCAGACATGCTTTTGAAGCGCACCTCTAAGGCCCGTCACTTCGCGTGGTGGGGGGCGCCGTAGGGAGGCATAGTCCACGGCCTGAGAACGGATTGTTTTGTAGCCACCATGAAACACTTGACTGAGTGGTGTCCGTTCATAATGATATTGTATGTTGACTACTTACCCGATTGTCTCAAAAATTTGGGAGCACAAACTAGACTCAAATTACAACACTATGACAAATTTTGGTGCAAAGTTTGATACGTTTTAATAGATTTTCTAGGGACGGAGGAAGTGCTTTGTTTTGGGTGGTACTCAGATTGCCGGCAATTGACTACTAAGCGAGCTCCGTCAATTATAGATTCGTAATTCGATGATTGAAACTACATGGTGGCAACTGAGAAATTCTCATGTTAAGGAATGCCATCATCAAAATAGTTGAGTGTCTGCCCGTGTCTCTTGATGTTGCACTTTCTGGCTTACAGGATTAGATGTTGGTGGGTGAACACCAACGTGCTGTGGAACTTAACTAGAAAATGAAAGGAAACCTGCGAGCCAGATTGAAGGTGTGACCACCTGACATCAAGGCAGCCGCAGCCACCATATTGTGCAATCAGTCGGTCATGCACTGGCTGACGGATGCACTCGTTGACCAGATCGAGATGGCAAGAGGACAACTGCCCAACGATCAGCTTCACTATTACTATTTTTAATGTTGTGAGTGCGTGCTCGTAATTGATGCTTTGAGCGGTGCTGTGGGATAGCGAACGTGCTATGCATGATAGAAGTGTGAGTTGAATCCGCCGTTGTGAGTGTGAATTCGGGTGGGGAAAAAAACAGGCACACTCTGGCATTTAAAGAGCGCCTGAGTCTTGTTCGTGACTTCTCTTGGTTGTAAGACAAGTTGGGTGGAGTCTTGGCTGCTTGTTGGACCAAGCACGGCAGGTGCGTTAGAGCACCGCGTGCACCAAGGTTGCCACGGAGGTTGAGCCAAAACATTTTACCACTGCTGCGCTCTGGCCCATCACCGCGTGGATTCAATTTCAGCGGTGGGACCTTGAGCCGGGATGGCTAAGAAACTTCTTCAGTGGCGAATCTCAGGGCAAGTGGCATCTGACGGTCATGGGCAATGCGAACTGGAAGATTGATGCTAATTCCTTTGATACATTTGGCCAATGTGTGCCCTGGAGGAACATCCCATAAAGTAGAAATGGGATATTGGTAAGCAGACTAGTCATACAAAGACGCGGGGGGTTCTCAGTGAGAATAGGCATTACAGCAATGCGCAACAGGCATTCTCCCACAATGTCCTCACAGAATGCACACCGTTCGTTCAACCGACGTGACAGGAGATTGTGCCACGCCCTCCTGTCTTGGCACCCAAACTACACTTGCAATTTCGGAGCCTTCATGCCACGTGCTGTGCGGCTCGACCGTCATCATAATACAATGCGACTTGAGTATGTGCGTGTGTGTGAGTGTGTGTATCTTGTACATGGAATTGGTTGCAAGCCGACTGTGCTGACCGGCGCTCAACACACATCTGGCGGGCCTCCATTGTTGGGTCCGAACGGGGGGCCGGTGGCACGCTGCAGGTGCATCGTCAGAGAGTAGTTGCTGAGCTCGAGGCTTCTGAGCCTGTCCTGGTACTGTGCCAACATGTCACGCATCCTCTGGATCTCTTGGTCCTTGGTGCCAAGCTCCTGCAGACGTGAGTGCTGGACGGACACCGCTTTGGACAGGATAGCGTTGCCTTTCTTCACCTTGTCAAGCTCCGCGTTCAATGCTGCCAGCTCCTGTGCAGATTGGAATCATCAAACAACCATCTCAGGGGTGCGAGGACTTGTTCAACTCTTGTCAGCTCGAACGCCTTCCAGTCATTTGAGGATACCACTTGCCATGCACTTACATTCCCAGGAACACCATACACCATGACAAACCGAATCCTGGGATAACGCTACATGGGTAGGCAGTGGGTTCGCAGCAGGTGGTGACACCCATCTCAAGGAGCTGCATGTTGTGCCAGCTCATAGCCACTGCGACTCAAAGAAGTTCTTGTTTGCACCTGCGGAGTAGGGAGCCACTGACACTGTTGGTGACAAGGAGTATTCCCTTGAAGACACGGCACCCTGTAAACTGACCTTCAAGCTTGGAGAGGGCCATCTTGACGATGGCATATTTGACGTATGCTATTTGTATGTTTCCACATACCTATCCACATAGCCTTCCAATGGTAAACACTGGTGGCAGAGGTTGAGGGACAAGGTTGCTGACTGTGGACATACAGGGGACTTGCAAGGCCAGGATGGAGGCACAGCACTCTTTGCTGTTGAGTATGTTGTCTCACAGGGGGCTCCTGGTGCAATGTGTGTGGCCTTCCCAGGGGGTGCAGTGCCTCACTGCTTTGTCATTCACAATGACAGCAAGAGCGACGAGGCCCAGAATGCTGTGATCAATATCACCCGCGCGTGGATGCAGTCCCTTGGGGTCTCTATGCAATCTTGAACGGCAGGGCTGTCACCTCCTTTGAAATAAAGTTTTGGTAGGGGTTTGTGAGGATTGGGGGTATAAACATTGGCGGTTCTCAGGCTAAAACTGAGTTTTGGCTAACATGCAAACATGGAAAACCACAAAAGGGTTAAGCATTTTTGTGCCAAAACCCAGTGGCTTTAGAAAATGGTTGGTGGAGATCTGCTCACCTCCGATTCGTTCTTGCACTTGGCCATTATAGCATTCTCAAATTCTTCCAGCACCCTTGCCACACGAGCTTGTGCCTCTGCGGGCTCTCCAGATTCATAGAACTGCTTCAGGAAAGGATCCAGCCAAGATGGCCACAAACGGTCACCGCTGCCATTCGATGGGCCGCACTGTGGGCCTGTGGCAGTGAAGTGCACAGCTGGGTCAGTGCCACACCTATGTTTCAGACACTTTGAAGCACAGTCCAACAATAGGAGGACTCATCCATAGCTGGGTATTCAGCATTGGCCTAGCGTGCTTCAACATTGGCACCCGATGGCCGCACCCCCAATTTTGATAGGATAGGCATGCAAACACAGGCAACAGCACTCATCTGTGGTGGAGAGCACGCAAAAACAAGGGCAAACAGCACTGCAAGAGAAAATTATATGATTTGACACTGTCTGTACTGGGTGTCAGAATAACAGTTGCGCAAAAAGCAACATCCAAACGTCTGTCTGAAGCTAGCATACAATAAACTGTCACAATCAGGGTTTGGAAGCAATGGATTGAGTGGGGTGAGAGAGTAAAGGGAACGACAGGTGGAGGGGTAAGGGGAGAGGAGGGCTCTGAAGCCTGGGTGGACAAAAAGGGAGTGTTTCCTCTGGAGTGCTCTGCATTAGGGTGGTTAGTCGACAACAGTTTACCAGAAATGTCCCTTAACTGCAGTCTGCACCCATACCAGACTGGGTGCTTATAGCACAAACCTGCATGTGCAGAGTACAACTGGAAACACAAAGTGTACAGTACACAAGCCTGTCAAGTTCTCTCCCAGAGACTCACCACTATCCGTGCTTTGTCCCAAGTGTTGTTGATGAGCCACTGGCTGCTGTTCTGCTGGATTTGAGCTTGATAGCCTCAATTGGTGAAGCTGAGCAATGGCAGCCTCAATGTTGTCCCCATTATTATCCAACACCCGTTCTATTATCTGGTAATGCACACAAGCATTAGATCTGCAACAGCTCGCAAGTGGCATACAAACTTTGTTCAACACTACAGCATTTCACCTTTAAGTATTGAATATGATACTGTGAGTACACAGGAGCATTGCAAAATTAAAAGAGTATTGCAGACATTATGCTACATCCCAACAACCCTGAGGCCCTCCACAGGACATCATCTGCTTGTATTTGGTATCAGCCTCAAGACCACAGTGTAATGCTCAGGCTTCTATGCAACAGATGCCACCCTGCCTGTGGTACACTCTGCACTTGTGGGCCTCTGCAACGTTGCTGGTTTTGGTTGCTCATCGGGCAGACTCAGAGGTGTCTTGTCAGGCAGGTCATCAGCACACAAGCAACATAGACCAAGAACATTTCACAAAAAGCAACCCTTCAAATAGGCAAGGCGCCTAAACCCCCATCGTGCATACTGGCCACTGCAAACATACGGCAAGCCAAACAAGACCAGACGAACATTGAAACCAACACTGGCCAGGTTGCCACCTGCAAATTGGCCAGCACGTCACATGATGCAGAATTTCCAACAGGATTACAGAACGCGGCCCTACAATCCCGCGATCAACAGGGACCCAGGATTCCACAGCGGGGCGCCAGGGACACCGGTAGGGACACCGGTAGGGACACCGGTAGGGACACCGGTAGGGACACCCCAGGGCCCGCTCCTCCGACCGGGCGACGACCGAGATGCCGGACCGACGCACGCGCCACGATCCACGGGCGCCCCAGCCCCACACCAATCCTCCATCCCCCTCCCCCAAAACCCACCACCAGCACCACCACCATGCAGATTCCAGCCCTGCCCTCGGAACGCCTCCCCCTCCCCGCTTTCCCCGGCTGCGCGGTCGCAGCCCCTGCGACCTCCATCCCACGCTCGCCCCCGCGGCCCCCCACCCCACCTACCCAACCCTTTCCCCCCGCTCTCCTCGCCCGCACACCTTTTCATCCACATCCGGGAACATTCCCCCCAGCTTGAGGAGAGCGCTCTGCCTGGCGTGCGAACCGCCGATGGGGCCGTCCTCCTCCGGCAGGCGACACAGGGGCTGCAGCTGGCGGGCGCGTTTGCAGAGCCCGAAGCCGGGGGCGGGCGCCAGGCGCTCCTCCCCACCGCGGTCCTCGAAGAGCCGCTTCCTGCCGCTCAGAGCGGATCCGAAGGCGACCGACATACTAGGCCCCGCTCGCCCAGCGACCCCGCCGGGGGCCGGCCACTCGCCAGCGGCGCCGCACTGGCGGGGGGCGGTGCCTCCGATCCAACGCACGGGGGATCGGCAGGGGGGGGTCAGGGGCGCCGGGCGACGACCGTCGAGTTCCCCGCGCCCGACCCGCCGGGCGCCCCGAGGAGCTCAGGGGCTGCGGGAACCGGGTTTCAGGTCGCCTGGATCGGGCGCGGGGAGGCGTTCGGCCCCCATTTGCGGGGGGGCATGCTTGGGAGGGGAGCGCGGTGAATGGGGTGGATGGGGCCGGTGGTGGGGGACGCGTCAGACGGGCGGGAGCCGCGTCGGCGCGTCTCTGGCCACGCTGCGTGGCACAGGGCCCGTCGACGATAAAATTACTGGCTGCTCCAAATCGGTGACTGCTTGCACCAAGTCACGTGCACATCATGTCCAACTCCTTCCAAACTAACCTAACCTAAAATCTAAACCCTAAAACCTAAACCTAAACCTGTCCTAACCTTAACCCTAACCCTAAAACTGACCCTGAAACTAAACCTAACCCTAAAATTGAGGTTAGGGCAAAGTGTGCATGTGACTTGGTGCAAACAATCACCGATTTGGTGCAGGCAGTAATATTATTTCATAGTAAGAGTGTGCCATGCGGCATCTTGTGCCCAGGTGGCCAAGGGGTGTGGTATTTTGGCGAGTTTCAGCGAGTGTGGCAAGGCAGATGTGCAGAGGGCCTGATGGGTGCGCAATCAAGCAACGGCCACTGCAACTCTGCCCGTTAGGCATGGGTCCGGAGCAAGGTTACTATAAAGAGTCTCGTCTAAAGATCTCACATATACGGTCAGTCCCAAGTGCCTTCATCGGCTGTGATCCCCACTGATCAACCGAGGGTCAGATCGGAGCCACTCAAAGTCGCCCGCTCACGATAACATGAAGCTCCTATTATTCCCAAATGATTGTGACGCGCCCCGTGTCCGACGTTCCATGGGGACCCAAATTACTGCCATTTACCCCACAACGAGTTTCCTAAAGCTGGCTGAGGGGCGTGTGTATTGCCCCAGCTGATAGAGCAAATTGAAGACGTTTTTGTAGTGTTTTACTGATCAGGTCGCCAATATATGATATGAAACTTATGGCAAGCTGGCAACCCGTGAGCCTCAGAAAGTGGCTAGGAAGTGGCAAAAATCCACAAAAGTAAAAAGAGGGCTTAGTCTCCTATAAATACATGAACTTCAAAATAAAAGAAAAATATGGAGATGGCAATGTGGTGAAGTATATGGGTATCTCAATGTGCGCCTGATTCTACCAAGATACGGAACATGATACTGACGCCATGGTAGGACCTGCATCTAAGGAAGTGACGTGATGCACTGGGCCTTGCGTGCCACCCTTCTGGACGCACGCGCTTGGCTTGCGAAGCTATGTCCTCACTTGGAAACTGCTTCCGACAATGCAGCACAATTAGAAGGATGGATCTGCACCGATTGGCCACAGTATTGCACGTCGATTGGCTCGCTCCGGCGATCGGGATCAACGCAATCAGTGGGACGGGCGATGGCTGCGACTCGTGGCAAATTTTCGCCAACGGTTCCACTAGCCAGTTGGAGGCCTCGAAGACTGCGCGGGATTGCAACTTGCGGAACGCGCAAATAACAAAGAGCGAGAGGCACCAGCGCTAGTGTTAGCACAATGCAGCGATGGTCTCCCGGGTACAGGTGACGGGCTTCGGGGGCCAGATAATGTACTGCCACCAGATTGCTCATAATGATAGGTGGGACAGCCAACGTGGGCATCCAGTGGGATGCTACGGGACTGAGATGGCATACATTAAATCCGACCCAACCTTTAGCATTTACATTGGTGGTGTCAGCATAATGGCCAAGTACGGTGGGGGCGAGTACGGTCGCTAGCCACGCGCACGTGCAAACTCCCAAGTCGTTGGGCGCCTAATGTTGAGCGGCCAGCTGGGGGCGTTTCAGTGGAGCCAAGACCATCACCCGTCCATTGGCAGCTCCACAGGCTATGGTTCGCCACGTGTGGGGCCGAAGATCACCATGTGGGATGGGGGTTGGATCGGCGGGGCAAATAGGCAGCCGATGGGTTGGGGCCACCTCGATTGCCAACCTTAGAGGCGGCTATGCACCGTTGCATTTAGAACTGGTGGTCAGCAATAATAACAGGGATGGGTTTCGCTAGAAAACCAAAGCAAAAAACTGCAGAGGGGGGGGGGGGGGGAGATTCGTTCTCGATCTCAGCAGCAGGGGTCGATCAGGTACCGCCTAGTGATGGTGGATGCGATCTTGGCGCCGCCAAACCCAGGGTAGTGCGCGGGGCTGAAGCAATACTGGCATTGCAGAGAGCAACCTCGACGGAGACCACACCTTATGTTGTGTTGCCATTTCTACACCAAAAACCATATCCTGTGGCTTTGCCGCAATGCAATTTTTAAAATTCCTGTGCCATGCCTAGCTCTGTGGCTTTAGGATCCTAGTTTCCCCCTCATCTTTCCCAGTAGCCCTCACCTTGCGTGCACCGCGCAATGACATGCATTTTCCTTTCACCACGCAGTGGCGCCCTACTGGGCCGCGCCTTTTTGATATAACAAAATTAGTGGTATGGGAAGCTTGCCCTCTTTAAGCCATGGAACCGCCCTGCCGGATACCTAGGTCCTTACGGGGACCTAGGCAGAACCACCCCGGCCTACTTCCATATCATATTGTATAATAGAATAAGGTCCGGTTGGGGTGGTGTTATGTAGAATCCCCCAAGATAATGGCGACCAAACGAGGCAAATGGCGGAGCTTCGGTCAATGTATTACAACGGTGGTGGGCCCCCTGGTCCAGACAAGGTTGAGTGCACCGGCGAACTGAGACAAATGGCCTATGGGGTGCCCACTTTTATGGGTGGCGCACTCCCCCTCTCGTCATGGCACCCTCGGCCTCCTGTAATGTCCAATACACTCATGTCATGCCACCCTCGGCCTCCTGTAAGGCCACCTCGGCCCTTGGAGAGCCACTCGCATGGTCCCTTTGCCCCTTGGCATGCCTCTAGTAATGCCAGGCGGCTTCCCCAAGCTATACCACGTCCCTCCAAGGTACCATAGCCGTAGGGGCACTTGTACCTATGATCCAATGTAATGCGGGTACCTGACAGGTGCCCGTACTGCCGGATCAACCCCATAATCCCTTGGAGTGTACTCCACCACTTCCTGGCGGCTCCCATCCGCCCATGACCGCGCACTACATCATAATAGGCTATAATGTTCATCATCACACCGGTTCCATCAAGGAATAATGCCCCAAATAGCCAGAAATGGGCTAAATGGTCTAAATTGCTTTAATTACCTCATTATACCGAAAATAGGCCCATTTAACAAGATGAACGTGGCGATCATGATTAACACAATTCTAGACTCAGATGAACACATCTAACTCATCTAAGTCATCTAATTACCCGTCAATGTACAGTACGGTGTCCAGTCACTACAATCTCCCCCCCTTAAACTAAGCAATGTCCTCAATGCGGCCGTAGTACTCCTGGATCTTCTCTGGCGCGTTTTGGAGGTTGTCTTCAGGCTCCCAAGTCGCTTCATGGGCAGGGTAGCCTTCCCAAAAGACGAGGTACTCCTTGACGGTTCGACGTCCGCGCTTTCGCAGTCGATGGTTGACGATTTCCTCGACGAAGTACTCCTCATGGCCGTCCGTAGAGATGATTGCGTCAGGAGGTTGGGAACGTCTTCTGGCGTCCTTTGGCGCTCGGTACAACTTGAATTGAGAAACATGGAAGACAAGATGCACTCGGATGTGCGCCGGCAGCTCCAGCTTGTAGGCTGTCGTGTAGCACTCCGCCACCTTGAACGGTCCAATGTACAACGGTCCAAACTTGTGGCTTGGTCCAGCTCCAGCGATGTTGAGGTACTTGGTAGATAGCAGAACTTCATCACCAACACGCAACTCCAAAGGTCTTCGCTTCTTGTCCGCATATCGCTTCTGGCGCTCTTGAGCCTTCGTCAAGTTGTCGCGTGCATGCAGTAAATCCTTGGACAAAGTTTCCATCCACTCCTCTGCTGTGCCGTTCTTTGTCTCTGCTCCAGCCAACAAGTTTGCAGGGTTCACTGGATGTCGCCCGTAGCAAAGGTAGAAAGGCGTAAATCCAGTTGAAGAATGCACGGCATTGTTGTAGACGAACTCCACCATGCTCAACCGTTGATCCCAGTCGTTGTGTCGTCTTCCCATGAACGCTCTCATGATCTCCTCAATTGTACGGTTGGCCCTCTCTGTTTGGCCATCAGTTTGAGGATGAAATCCTGATGACATCGCCAATGTAGTTCCCATATTCTTGAACACTTCTCTCCAAAAATGGCTCGTGAACTTGTTGTCACGATCCGACACAATGGTCCTCGGCAAACCATGGACTCACACAACGGAATCCACAAAAATCTTAGCCACATCCACAGCAGTGGCTGTCCCTTTTGTTGGTCTCAGCACCACCATCTTGGTGCCATAGTCCACCATAACCAACAAAGCATCATAACCTGATCGGGTCTTTGGCAAATGAGTGATCAAATCCATGCTCACTTTCTCCCAACGATTGTGAGGTATTTCCAAAGGTTGCAACAACCCAGCACTTCTCTGATTCGAAGGTTTGTTGCACTGACATGCATCACAACTCCTCACAAACTCCGTCACATCACTCTCCAAAGAAGGCCAATAGAAATCCCGCTTCACCAGGTCAGATGTTCTCTTGATGCCCAAGTGACCCGAACAATGTGCATCATGCAATTCAGTCATCACTGCACTTCTCAAGGTCCCACTTGGCATGTACAATCGCAATCGTCCATCATCAACCCAATAGATGCGCTGATTCAGCACCTTGAAATTTGGGTGGCGATCTGGATGTTCGAAAATTGCTTTGCTCTCTTCATCGCGAGCATACTCTTCCTCCAACTTCCGCAGCAATTTCGAATCCAATTCTACTTCAGAAATCGACAAGCATTCAATCA